CTACTCTGGTAATTATTTAGAGTATGTCTTTATATTTTCACTCGCTGAATTTTACTCTGGTGATTCTATAGAACATGTACTAGTATTTCCATCCACCAAATTCTACTCTGGTAATTATTTAGAGTATGTCTTTATATTTTCACTCGCTGAATTTTACTCTGGTGATTCTATAGAACATGTACTAGTATTTCCATCCACCAAATTCTACTCTGGTAATTATTTAGAGTATGTCTTTATATTTTCACTCACTGAATTTTACTGTGGTGATTCTATAGAACATGTACTAGTATTTCCATCCACCAAATTCTACCCTGGTAATTATTTAGAGTATGTCTTTATATCTTCACTCACTGAATTTTACTGTGGTGATTCTATAGAACATGTACTAGTATTTCCATCCACCAAATTCTACCCTGGTAATTATTTAGAGTATGTCTTTATATTTTCACTCACTGAATTTTACTGTGGTGATTCTATAGAACATGTCCTAGTATTTCCATCCACCAAATTCTACTCTGGTAATTATTTAGAGTATTACTACTAGTGTATAGCCTGTCAAAAATGATGAGGCAAGTACTACCACTCCACCCCATATTATACCCTAACCTCTCATTTCATAGCTAACTGAAATAAATAAATTTTGCAAAATCAAGCTTGACCAACAAAGAGGCAGTCAAACATCAGTAAATTCCTTTGAAAGCCAATCAAAATTAAGATCATTCATGAAATGGATTTGTGGTGTATTCATTGAATAATTATTGGTAAAAATCAGTTAGATTAACAACTTCTAACCTATAGAAAACCCAGTGCGTTTTGGTAATGCTACATTCCAACAATAGTTTTTATGTTATGTTGCTTAGTAACAAAAGTATAACCTAATATTGTTGTTAGCCTAAGTACATAATGAAAAGTATAGACAACAAAACTGGAAAAATATTTGTTGATTTCAGAATTTAGAGTCTCTGTTGATTAAAGAGGTTTGTTTCAGATTAAAAAACCTTGATGATATAACATAAAATAGCTTGATTCAGAAGTGATTTAAGTTTCAAATTGAATTGATATTTTTACTTTCATGATAAACTTTATGCACTTGGCTCTAGGTTAGGTGATCTCACACTAGGTCTTTACTTTAGGCTTATTATACCAACACTCACTACACTTATAAGGTTTCATTGCACCCTCTCTTGGCCCCCTTGCACCTTGTCACTAAAATCATAATGGATAGACAGTAATCAAGGTATTCTATCTGGATAAATGCATTTTGGCTTTTATGACATCTCCTATTTTGAGAAATCAAGCGTGAAGTGACACACACAGGATTTTATAAAGGTTAGATGTCTTTATCTTCACCCACTGAATTTTATTGTGGGAATTCTTTAAAACATGTCCTCATATTTTCACCCAGCAAACATTTATGGTTGATGAAATCATTTTCATAGCTCCATATGGAAACTTCTATACTGGGGTTTATTGTTTTCATATATGAAGTTTTAATATAGTAGTTGATTGGTTTATGTAACCTCGGTTCTTTCTTCAAAGTTTGATGTAGACTTTTATGTGTGGGAAGTCTATGAACGTTTTGTTTTTATCTTTCAGGTTGCTGGAAGGAAAGGATTCCCACATGTTATATATGCCCGAATCTGGAGATGGCCTGACCTTCATAAAAATGAATTAAAGCATGTAAAATACTGTCAGTATGCCTTTGACCTAAAATGTGACAGTGTCTGTGTCAATCCGTATCATTATGAACGAGTGGTTTCTCCAGGAATAGGTAGGTAGTTGACTTAAAAAGTTATTATACACTAATTAACAAATTTCATTTGGTTACTCTAAGTCTACATTGTATGTTAGTTATGTCATGTTTTTTTTTAGAATTACATTCAAAATTTAATTAAAGTACTTTATTATTGTGGAATATAAATAAACTTGGCATCGAAACATAGTTAACCCTTTTACATTGTAAGTAGGTTATGTAACTTTCAAATTTTGTTCCAAACATAAAACTATTGGATAAAATTGTTTGAAACTTGAGAGGAACACTCCTAAAGGCATGAAGTGTCAGAAAATTGTTTTTTGTTTTTTTTACACTTTTCAAATTTCATTTGCATAACCTCTAGAACCTCCTAAATGAATATCAAGTTTTTTAAGGTAAAAATTTTCTCTACTATTTCACTAATTATTATAACAATTATCAATGTATAGTGCAATGAAATATTTAAAATTAAGAGAAAGAAATATGTATGTACCTTTTAACTCTTCATTGAATAATCAGAAAATTTCTTCGTTTGATTATATTCCTAATTTCAGGTCTTTACTTTTCCACTTATAGTTTATTTTTTAAGGTTTTATTTTCATTTCCTGTTTTTTACAGTTTATTACTTTTTTGGCAGATGCCAATGAGTGCCTTCGGGGCATATTGCAGTATCTTTGGCAGAGATATGCAAGCCGTCAGCAAAATGTTTTTGCACTCGCTCAGAAAGTTAACCCTTGTGAATAGATGTGAAGTTTGGGTTACATTAAAAATTATTAAACCTTTCAAATATGAATTTTAAAACATAAATAATACATAAAATACATAATTAATTGAAATATAAAAGTAAAACCTAAAACTATTTAACTGTCTGTCTTACTAATACGTATCTAGATGAGAGACAATGCTAAAGGTTAGTGATGACAAAATCAGCAAACATTGTTTCGACTATTTGACACACTTGGGAGATTGTTGTTTAAAATGAGATCTTTCTATTGGTTATAAACATGTCAATCAAATAATTACAAATAACATCCAAATAAAAGGGTGGGTCTGGCTACTGTCAAGTGGTGAGCAAATTTATTTTCTTCTGGTCTCCAGTTGACCTGATGGAATTTGAACTAAGAACAAACAGTATTGTACCAGTAGATTCAGTCTAGACATACATGTACAGCATACATAAGCTATTATCATGAAGTACTTTCACTACTTAATAGTAGGGATCATAATAAAACAAAATGGCAGCCATAAAAATGCCCCATTTAAAACCAACTTTCAAATGTCTGAATATTAACAATGACTGTTTCACAATATTGGCTGAGCAAAACTAAAGCTTATTGTACTGATACAGCTGCCTAAATCCCTATATATATGTGTTTATGGAGTGAATCAAAACTTCACAATTTCAACAAGTAAATAAGTGAGTGAATTTTTCTAGACAGGCATACAGAAAAGATTATTAAAACAAAAAAGTCAAAACAACAAAAACTGAGTTACTCAAAATTTAAATGATTTTAACACTTTCAGCACGGGCTAATGCAGTTTGCATCAGTTTGATTGGGGAAAGAAATTTAAGAAAGAAACATGGTAACTCTGAATGTTCTTCACAAACCCTCGTAAGATTTTGTCAAAGTTTATAGGTATTTTGTACACATGTCTTCATTTTATAGTTTTTCACATCTTTGTTTGCATAACCTCTGAACCTCCTAAATGAATATCAAAATTTTTTTAAGGTAAATGTTTATATTTTCATTTTCTCTGCCATAGCACTAACTCTAGCTATTATCATCAACGTGCAATGAAATAATTAAAATTAGGAAACAGAAAAAATATATATATACATAATATTTCATTTTTTGTAGAATATCCTTAAAGATTTTCCTTTTGTTAAATTTATACTTTCAGGTCTTTTCCTTTGTACATATAGTTAATTATTAATGTTTTATTTTCCTTTCTTGTCCTTTAGCACTTCTTATTTGTCTTGACACAAGTAAATGGTACCCTCGAGGCATATGATATTATCTCTGGCAGACATGTGTAACCCTTTGGCAAAATTCTCATGCACCACATAATATTTTAAGTCTTGCGAACTGATGCAGAGTATGATGTATATTTAAAATATGTTTAAACCTTTTAATTATGCATCTTAAATGTAACTAAGACAAAATTAACTAAAATATAATACTAAGATCTAAATATAATTTAAATTATATCTCCAACTATACCATATTTAGGTAAGAAACAACTGTAAGTGCTATAGTCGATCAAGTAGCCAACAATACTACAGTCAATTACATGTACCCTATGACAACAACTGCACACCAATTTCAAAATAACCATTGTTAGATTATAATGTAAAATGAGCTCTTTCTAATGACTATACACATGTGTTATGTAACATCTAAATCTAGGCTACGAAGCTCAAATATTGATATTGAAAGGTATTGTTTGAATATTGAATTTCTTCTTTTTTTGGGGGGGGGGGAATTAGGTTTTTTTCTTTCTGGTTCTTTTCCTGATTCCATTATTATTCATTTATTAATATTTATCATAAATTGTTTATTAATATTGGTGTGAAATCCTCTCTAGGCACTCATTTATTAACTGTGTTGAATTTATTTCTTAAGTGTTGTTATTGTGAATAAATTGTAATTTTGTTCTTGAACCCTGTATGTAGCATCGTGTTCATTTTAGACTGTTACATTCTTTCTTCACCGACCTCCTTGCCCAACTCCTATTCATGCCTAGGACCTTAATGTGGTTTTGCACACTCTCATGCATGCCCCGTTCCACCTTCTCTCAAGATATATTTCCTCCTCCTTCTTGACTATGGTCACCATCATTCAGATGTCTATCCTATTTATGCTATTCTACTGCACTTATATACTCCTTATCCAGAACTGACTTTCCTTCCTAAGACTTCTGTTGCTTGTAAGGCAACTGTATTTTCTCTTCTATCTCCCTTCTTTATATCCCTCACCTCTATGATAGTTTGTACCTGGATCAGCTCTTGTGTCCTGTTTGGGCTATTCAGTGTTAATTATCATGGACTTTTCCCTTTCAGGGTCCCTGCCATCATCTGTTCCTACACAGGGACTTCTCTCCTTCTACCCTTCCTTGATGGGTCCATTAACTTCTCTGGTTGGTATATTTTTCCTTGGATATGGATGCTTGCAGGCCTTTTCATATATCTTTGGATCAGATTTGTCACCTGTCTCTTTTGCTTTCCATCTTTGATGGCCCTTGGACAAGGTCCTCCAGACAGGTGTGTGGGTGACATCCCACACCTTCATTGATCATTATCTTCCTCATCTGACAGTTTTGTCAGGTTTGTCTCCCACAGGATTTGGACTTCCCTAATCACAATTATTCAATCAACCCACCATCTTTGAGATAGGTATGTTTCCTTATTCCCTTTTCTTTCTCTCTTATTAAACTGGATCGTGCCCGGTGGCTGATGTTGCTTCCTAAGATGTATTTATTTTCCCAAATGTGCATCGGGCCAGGGGTAATGGAACAAGTTCAAACCACCTATCTTGGCTCTACTAGTGCCCACTGCAAGTTGGGGTGTTCCACAAGACCAATAGAGAAATCCTCATGGTGGACAATTTCACGCGGTTGTCTGATCCAGACCGTACCAATTCCATGGACTGTCATGGAAAAAGCCAACACCAGGGAAGTGACCATCCACTTTTTTGGTTCACGCCTGCCTGCTTTTAGAAAGGTCTTTATGGTCACACATTGTATTTTCTTCAGTAAAAGACCTTTCCTGCTGATAGTCTAATGATCTGGGGACTTCTCTGAGTCTCCCCAATGCAAATTCTTCTGTCCTTTTCTTCAAATGGAGCATGGGAGACTTGCCACTTCCAAGTTTCTAGCCACCGAGGTGGTGGGCCATTGATAGTCCATAATGGTTGAATTTAACACAATACATTGAGAAATACGGTTGTGTGCCCTCCTTCTGCAGCCAGAGTCAAGGTGAGCACACATTGTATGGCCTGACTGAACCCTAACCAGACCACTACATACTGACTTGCCAACTGCTTGTGTGTGTATATATGCTCTGTTGGTCATGATCACATTCCATCCATCACTGCAACACTTCAGACTCTTTTGCCTTTATCTTGGCTGAATAGTATACCGTTATCAAGATGAGTGTGAAAGTATTCCCCCATGTAGCTCCTGCCCATGGGTGTCACATTCTACAGACTTTCTCTTCAGGTGCTTTATGAAGGGAACTCATCTAGGTTTAATTTTTTTTCTAGCCCCTCCACCACTTCAATGTGGGATTCTAGCATTTGTGTATGGAGGTGAGTTATCATCTTGGAAATTAACATTTTCCTAATCTGAAAATGTATTTCCGATAGTTACTCACATTTCTGCTCATCGTACCCTCTTCTGGTGCATCTTCTTACCTTGCCTAAAAATGAACTTATTGCAAGTGCGTACAACTAGTTACTGTGCATGGAGGTTGTGTCACCATCCTATTGGTGGAGGACTATTGTCACATGATGACATCACATATACCAGCACAGTTCATGTTAAACACATAAATTTAGGTAGGAATTGACTCGAGACTAATTACATGCAGATGTCATTGTCAGATGCAAGAGGGAAACAGCATTTCTGTGTGAAGGAGTCTATCGGAAATACACTTTCAGATTAGGAAAATGTTACCTTTAAAAAGAAAGCTTGAATATAAGTTATTAGTAGGTAGGCAAGCTTTTAATTATATTTTGTTTTTGAAGTGATATTTTCTTAGTTATTGATGTTTTTGTGTACTTTCATAATACATCATGAATTCTTTTTCTTGTTGAAAGACATTTCCATAAATTTGTATTACCTTTAATATCTTATTTGAGTTTGTAAGTTGGCAAGATTGCTATGAGAATTTTGTTTTTCCACTAGATTTATCAGGCTTAACACTGCAGCATTCAGGAGAAACATCAGGTAAGGTTTTATTGTAAGTTTTATTAACATTGCAAGTTATTCTACTTAGAGTTTGAAGGACAATTTTATTAAAAGATTTTAGTCTAGTAGTGATAAATATATAAAATGAACAAGGCTAGTTCTAAGACAATATCAAGTGAAATATGTTGAGGGTAAAACTGGTTTTATTTTTTCTAATGATTTCCAGTCTGGTTGCAAAATTTTGGCCACTTTTGTATTTGTATTTTTAAAAACTGAACTCAGAAATGAAACAAAGATATTTCATATATATATAAACATTGAATATTTTCAAACCTGTTAGATTTTGTTTTGGTAAGTTTACAGTTTATAATGAAATTAGAGCCACTACATGGCACAATTGTACTGTACTATTACACAGCACTTCCCTGGAAGTCAGGTTTCACACATGCTTATAAGTGAAATACAATCACAGGTTTGATAACAACATTGCTATTATGCTTTGTAAAATATAATCACAGGGCCTAATAACATCAGCGCTAGTCCACTTTTTAAAGTACAATCACAGGCTTAATAATATTAGCACTTAGTCCACTTTGTAAAATAATAGGCCTAATAACATAATCTATACTTCACTCTGATTAAACAATTTTGCAATATGAAATATATATTGTTAAAACTAAATGGATAGTATTTATGTTATTATGTCTTATTTGTAAAAGTTACCTATGTAATCTCTCTAGTAGAAGTTATGTACAGCTATTTCAAAAAGACCCCTATTAATCTCTGAGCTAACACTAGGACAAAGTCCACCATAAAATACCATTAGTTTCAAATTACAAATGGAAGATGTTCCAAAGTGGAAAGGAACGACCAAAGTAAATACGTAAAGAAAATAAGCACCAATATACTTATTTTATATAACTAATTATTTGAAAATATACAATCATGAACAATATTTGGGTAAAAACTAAAAGTTTAGAAATAAGAAAGAAAGAGAAGATGATCCCAATTTTTAGATGATATGTTTTTCTTAGTTTTCGAGATTTGAAAGTGTTGTAAAACTAAATTATGGCAAGGGAACTTTATTCTTTTTGACATTAGTAGTTTCTAAAGTTCAATGTTTGAAGCATTCCATTCAAAATAAAAACAAAGAAATGACCTAATTTTGTATCTGTACAAACTTTATCTACCTAGGAAGGAAGTGTTTAAATATTTCTATTCCCTAATATAACTTACAGTTGGGAGGGAGTAAATATCTCAGTTAGACTAAGCTGTTTGGTTTTATTCTTTAAAAAACTCTAAATCTAAGGATTTCAGTTACAATTTTATTTTGTAGATAATCCATAGGGAAAGATCAGACAGAAATTTCTTAAATTAATTTTCCTTTATACAAGATACCAGGCTGGAAAGGATTAAGCTATTTTCATTATAGAATGAGACGTCAAGTTGTATGAAATTTAAGGTAAATTAAAACTCATAACTATCATTTATGGGTCAAAGCTTAAAACATTAAAAACGTGATGTTGATAATTTAATATGTTATCATATTTGAAATATTTTTATATTGAATACATTTGTGAAGATTATTTCTGGAAAGGAATTAGAAATCGTAG